TCAGCCCCAGCACGCAGACAGGTTCCTGCTGTGGATACTGAAGAAGCACAGAGCCTAACAGCTACCAGGCATGAGAGAACACCCTTTAGGTGGGTGATGTCTTATCATTGTTCAGGTTTTGACCATGTTTTTCTTATAAAAGAAATTGGTGATCTATTGGAAAATATAACTCACCTTTGATGATTCAACTGCAGATTAAAGCCGGCACCACTGGTGTTTACTTGCCATGCATCTTCGGTTCATAAAGAGTGTTTCTTGAAATGGTGGGTAACCTTAAAAACAGTCTCTGGTGAAGCATGGGGCTCTCAATACCAGCTTGATAAAACCCAAGCAGGTTTCAAGAAATATTAAATGTGATAGCATGCACATCGCTAAGAGGGAGCTCAGCGCACTGCTCTATAAACCTATTAGCATCTATTTACTTTGCTAAATCCTGCTTCGTCTCAAAGTATCTTAGAGCCTTTTTGGAAATCAAATGTAATGATATTTCTGTCAACATATTTATTTCTGAAGATCAATATTCCCAAATCTACTTCAAATGTATTAGCTCATCCATCAGCAGTTTTTATTAAATGCAAAACTCCTCACCTATCACAGAGCTGAATTCTATGGAGGATTAGGCAAATTAACAAAAGGAAATCTGGCATTTGCTCAGTCCCTCTGAACAGAAATCTGTAATCTAATCTAGACCAGGCAGCATCAATGTGGAAATAAATATAAAATTCCAAGACAGTTTTTTTTTCTCCCTTGTAGATTTACAGGATACTCACATCCAGTATTTGTCAACCCCCCCCCCGCCACACACATTTTCTATCGACCTATATTTAATAGTAGGAGGTTTCAAAAAGATGAAATAATAATTTAATTTTAAATAGTCTACATGGAATCAGACAGTGAATTTCCTTCTGTGATGGATAACAGTAGATATAAATCCAGATGCTGTGGATAAGGATAGAAGCATAGAAATGGCTTATCTGAGGCATGCTGTTGTGTGATTTGCTAGTGAGCAATGACAGAGCTACAAAGCTGTAACTGGACCATCTCCCCTTTCTTCCCTGCCTGGCTGCAGTGACTGAGATGCTGGTAAATGTCCTCAACATCTGCTCAGACGATGAGCTGGGGTCAGAGGAAGATGGATTTGACGGTAAGAAATTAAGCCTTTGTGCTGATACCATTTGCCATGCGATTACTTAGGATCGCAATGCTAACCCCAGCCATAAATTTTTAAGATTTCGGTTTATGTTGAAATCATAACGTTGAAAATGAAAGCATTTTGTCTGAGGTAAGAAAATGTCAGAAATGAAACCATGAAAGAGTTTCCCCATTCCTTTGAAACTGTTGTTGAAATGTAAACTACTTTAATAACTGACTTTCAGTTATCCACATTGCTATTTGATATTCTTTTACCTCCTTAAAAAAAGGCAACCCTCTATTGCCGATTTTTATCTCTCCTGTCGTTTGTCTTGATGTGTGGGGTAAAGAGAGGCATTTACACACGGGTAAGCTTGTGTTTAGGTCTGGGATCTTTAATGACAATATATGCTTTAATACCTCATTTCCTCTACCTGCATTCATATTCTTAGCATTTTCATTTTTAAGCAATGTTGATAACATCAAATATTAATACTTTCTGTATCTGAATTAATGTGAACCCATGAGAGTTTTTAAATTATTTTTGCGATGCTAGATGATAATGTTTTTCTCTAAAGGCAGAGATTGCCTGTGTGGTTAAAAATGAGAGGAAAGATTACTGTTTGACCTAGTGTAGTTGCTGAAATCTGTGGAAGGAGCAGAGATGTGGAAAGAGCAGGGACACAATAGCAAACTTTCTTCATGCATATTTAATAATCCCTGACCTATGTGGGGCACTCAGGATTCCTCGGTGCCTTGAAGAAGCTGAAGTCATCTCAGTTGAGCAGATAATGTCAAGAGAATGAGACATTAGGAAATAAAGAACAAAGACAAGAAGAAAAGTAGATCTTGAATTAATTTAAATGAGTAGCCATTGAATGACTCTTTAGTTATACAGAAGGCAACCATGGTCCTTTCTATAAGTTAGTATTTGGATGGCATGATTTAATATTTCATTGTTTTAGCTCTGACAACAGCTCAAAGTACAAGATATTTATAGCTCTAGGTGAAAAGAACATGGATAAATAATATATATGTGGTATATAATAGTATATATATATAATACAGAATTCATATAAGTATATATCAATTAAGCACACAATTTGCAGCTAGTATCCAGTATTTCTGTTTTCCATAGCTTCTCTCGTCTTCTTCGCCTGGCTTCATAAACTGTCTTCAGGTACCTCAGTGCAAAAGAATAGGATGGAGTGGAAAGAGGATGTTGAAAGCAAAAAATAATTTAATTTTTTTAAACAGCCATAGGAATTAGTTAAGCAAATATGGGTAATTCAGTTTCTCACATTGTAGCCACAGTTGCTACTGTTAACTTCTCTGTGAGTAGCGTTATGTCTTAAAAGGGAACATTTTCATCAATGGCCCAGACTTTTCTAACTAAAGGAAGAATACTACCCAAATGGATTCTGAATCTTAAAACAGCAATAAATATTATAGGCTCTTTTTCCTGTAGCCCTTTTACTCATTGTAAAGGCAGCCAGATACGATGCCTCTGTCCACCCGTCATAAAGCTCGTGGCTGCTGGTCTATAGTAAAAGAAAGGTCCACAAAAGAAAAGGGTAAGAATTTTATTCAGTGTTAGGTGACGCCCTTTTACTCATTGTAAAGGCAGCCAGATACGATGCCTCTGTCCACCCATCATAAAGCTCTTGGCTGCTGGTCTATAGTAAAAGAAAGGTCCACAAAAGAAAAGTGTAAGAATTTTATTCAGTGTTAGGTGATACTGAAGCCATCAGGAAAAAAACTACCTAGAAAGCTAAGAACAAGTATATAATATTTTTTGCTTAGGTTTGATAAACAATGGACAGATTTACAGCAATGCGGGGCAGAGGGTGTGTTGGGAGGCACGCAGCTGAGGGGGAAGGCACTGTTATCTCTCTGCACAGCTTGGGTACCTTCAAAGGAGAGGGAGAACTTTTTAGAGTTCTGTGGCTTGCTTTGTGGGAAAGGCGTCCCAGCTTCTCTGGCTTGCCTTTGGGAATGGGGACACTGGTCTGGTTGCTTCAAGAGAGAAGGAGCAGGGAAGAATGGGAGAAAGTCAAAAAAGCATTGATTTCGAGGCTCAGCTACTTTGTTTTCAATTCAAAGTAATTATCATGACAAGTTCCATAACCTGGGCTATTTTCTTCTGAATGCAAATATTCTTAAAATTAGCATTAATATAGTAAATCCCCCAGTAAACAAACATGGCTGCTGAACTGCTTACCACTCTGTCTCAGTCACGTCTATGGAAAGATACTTTGTGACCACTCTGCTTTAAAATAATTAATTTCTTTTTTTTACTTGTACTTAATTTTTAATCATTTATTTTATTCATTCAACACTATGTTGTCTAAGCCTTTGTTGGGTTTGTAAGCTCAAGTGGTTTGGCTTTTCTCCCTCAGTCTCCTAAGTAGTTTGGGGTTGTTGGTGGATGTCATTCATTGCACCCAACTCAAAACATAATTAAAAAATATTCAGTTAGTTGTTTTCATTTACATAATTTTTATTTGATAA